TAGTAATAATAATAATAATAGTAATAATAATAATAATAGTAATAATAATAATAATAGTAATAATAGTAATAGTAATAATAAACACCACCACTTTTAATGTGGTCTTAGAATTGTCAAGTGAAACTTCTACCAATCATTGTCACACTGTACCTTTTGTTTTGTTCCTAATAATTACTTTTGTAAAATAATTTCTGATAAATAATTTTAAGTCAAATTATTATTCTCTCAATTGCCTTTCAAATGAAATCTGATCAAAAATGTTTAAGACAAAATCTTTAAACTGATCAACAAAATGCAGTGTATTGCCTAAAATGTGATTGTTCTGTCTTCCAAGTGAGACAAACAAAATGTGTTCCCAAGCAAAAATTTTAAAGAATGTTAATAACATTAAGGGGACTGGAACAAAATTGAACATTATCCTGTCTTTACCTTGTTTTGCTCATTTGTTTAATTTTGACATCTTGCAATATGGCAGTCCTTCTGTTAGAATGCACCAAATAAGAGCATTGTGGAGGGCTCAGTTTCCTACAGAGTCAAGGCACGAAACCCATCGACGCATGTTGGCACCATATGGGGCTGCATGTGCATCGCAGACTCGAGTGTAAGAAGTACGTTCAGCTGATTTTCTCGAAAATTGATATTTCCCACTTGATCTGGCTGGAGTTGCGGCTCCTTGAATTTCAAACACATTTTAATTTTGTGCAGTACTTTACATGGACCCCGTGGGACATTTCCAAAACAGTGGTTCAGTTTTTTAAATTACATGCTGTTGGATAGTGCAAAGGACATTTAAGGCTAAATGTTCCGAAAAATACTTGTAGGAAAATTCAATAAATTAGATTATTATCACAAGGAAATTTTCTTTACTGATAACGTCTGAACCAGTGGTTCGATTTTCGATCGATAAATGGCATTTGATGCCTTTTTTTACGCCACGATGCCCTTGTTCCACAAAATTAACTAAAACTTGAATTTGAAATTGGTACTCGAGCTTCCGAGAACAATTAAAAAGGGTGTGGGCTTATAGCTCGAAAGCCGCAAGCATTCTGAATCCAACGTCGTGTCAATCACTAGAATGCAAATCGGATGAATAGGAGCATCGTAGATTAAAAGGGTGTAGCCGAGTAAGAAGGTGAAAAGTGCCCCCAAGCCAAATCAATAATCGCCCTGCTCATATGAGGGTAGTAAAAATACCATAGATTTCCCAAAAAATAAGTCTCCTATTGCAATGTGTTGCAGATATAAGAGAAACCTGTTTTTCATGTTTATTTTCTCCGCTTCTATTGCATGTATCAGACTGAAAAAAATTGCAGGGATGGGGGAAAATAGTTAAATTAAGAGGTATTTTTGTCAACCATTTTTGACGCCAAATTCAACGAGAAAAAATTAATGAATTTTTGAAAATAATTTTTGACCTCGTCGCAGTCTCGGTAACATCTGTTGCTGGAAACGACGTTATTGTGAACATGCGAGCGAAAGTGACACCCTGGGATGCTGCTTACATATAGCTGTCTGCAATCATTAATTTGGAACAGCTTGTTACTTAGTGAAATTTTTAAACCGTCAGAAAGTTTGAGTGGAATGTTTATAAACGAACGAGTTTTCCCAGTTATTGAAGAATGTGACAATGATTAATTATCTTGTGTCTAATTGCCGTTGATTGTGTTGTCTACTTACCAGTGATTAAATCTACATCTGAATAATTTGACTTATATTGTAAACATAAATGATTAATGCACCTAAAACTGAGTAATTTGATTTTTATTAGAAACAGTACATAAATCTAAAAAAGAAAGGCGTTTGATTTTATTTAATGATATAAATACTTTCCACATAAAACAAAAATTTGTAAATCATTCTGGTAAGGGAAGCTTTTTAATAATTTGGATGTAAATTGTTTCGACATTTTATCTTAAATAAACAATTTTTCCAATCGCTTTTTTGCGCGATTTTCAAATTTTTAAACATATAATTAATTTTATTTGTTTTTTCACTACCATCCACATTGTTTATTAATTTGAAAAACATGTTATATAATGTTGTAAGACATCTTCTAGGGGGAAAACTTACACAATACACCAACGTTATCATGTCGAAAATTAATTTCAAAATTTTATTTTTCTTTTCTTTAAATTTGGCGTCGAAATTGGTTGCCAAAAATACCTTGATAATCAACTATTTTCGCCCTTTCCTACAATTTTTTCAGCCTGCAGCATGCAATAGAAACCAAGAAAAAAGTAATAAAAGTTTCTCCTATCTCTGCAACAGATTGCCTTATGGGGCTGATTTTTTGGGAATCATCGGCATTTTTTATTCTTTCATATGAACATCGCGATTCTTGTTCTGATTTGAGGGAACTTTTCACCCCCTCATTCGGCTATATCTTTTTGGAAAACACCTCGTCCCCCCCCCTTCCCCCCGTTGCGACCCTTTCTCTAGTGGGCGCACCTCTCGGCGCTGTCGCACAGATGCTTTCGTCAC